AACGATATGAAATTTGTAACTTCAGACTTGTATAGAGAAACTGTAGATTTTTCTGAAAGTCTTTTAGATTTCAGGAATACATTTTATATACACCGTGTCCCATCTAAAATGTCCCTCTCTGTAAAAAATCAACCGCGCGATCGAATGACTTGAAATTCGGTCACCCAGTATATTCGATGATGCTCACTCGAAATATGCTATTGAATAAATCCAAGGTATACAGGGTCACACCGAAGTGCACCTCAACTATCTTATTTGAATAGGGACACCCAGTATATTATTTCGTATTCAAGTAGAGTTCATTATTACAAATTCAACAATGCCGGGTTTGATGGGATTTTTTCGCACGACTACGAAGATATGGCAAAAAATAAAACGATTCAATAAAACATTTACATGATTAGATTTTTTCAATATAACACGATTGAAATCGAATGCAAAGAAAATAATTGAATCATTTCTCATAGAAAAGTGTTTCTGCTCGCTTAACGAATTTTTTCATAAATGACCATCCAACTACCTAAGATAAGGTTGAACAGCATGGGGATCTCAAAAACTGTAGGAGATACGAAGTCGGTTGAATGGGGAAAAAGTTGCGCATTTGGAGGCTCATATCAAGAGCCTTCGAAAATTTTCAAAATTATTTTTAGTTTTTTAGTTTGTACCAATAAAACTCAGTTTTGTGCAATAAAAATTATTGTACTTATAAAAATTTATTGATTGTACTTATTTATCTTTATTTTGCCTATGAGCTGCTCTAATTTCGGGAGGTCGTGAGTAAGTGAAAGCTGTTAGCAAATCTGAATCCTTTTTTTTTTATAATTACTAGATAATATGAGATAAGATATACGGAAGATAAGATAAATTAGATAAGGTAAGATAAATGAGCGCCATGTATTTTATTCCTGGTTAAAATACAAAAACCAACAATCTATGCAAGAAGAACAGTAAAACAAATTCACAAGCTTAATAATTTAATTTCATGTGAAATTGACTACATATTTACAAGAAAATATTTATATATACAAAAATGTGCAAATTTGTGATTAAACTGAACTTGGGACTTGTTTTTGAGCAATTGGGGACACTTACTCCCATCGAACTTCTTCCTGAAGAGTTTCCTGGATTTCTGGATGGTTCTTTTCCCTCCTGTCGGACTTTGACATGTCCTTGGTGAGTGAGTTCAACTACTCAGTTCATCGAACTACTTCCCCACCAGGTGAACTTGGGTCAATTCGTATGTCCCAGGAGGTTTCCTTCTCTGGAAGTCTTGCAAATCCACTGGATAATGTTGCGGGAACTCTTCGTTTCTTGCTGCTGTGCTAAAAGCAATAGAGCGAACAGAATCTGTCTGATACGTGATTTTAGAAGATCGTGAAACCTCAATGGAGTGTCAAAAGTGCCATCAGACTCAAAACAAGTCTTACAAGTTCTTCAGAATTTTACAAAACTGATAATAACCAGTAAAGATAAAGTGACCATATATACAGATATTCATCAGGAAGTAATATATACAATGATATACAATATAGGGAAAGATAAGATAAAATAAGATAAGATAATATTTAACAAGAAGAGAATTGCAAATTTGACAAACATCCATCCTAGAGATAATGAAAGACGCAATATCCCTCAAAAAGAGAAATTAGAAATTAGATAAAATCAGATACAAGATAGAATGAACGATAAAACATTTAAGATACTGAGAGTAATTCGGAGTTGTTTGAATTCAATTAATTAAGAAAAATATATATTGACTAGCAGATAAGTGAATGGCATCAAGTTAAGTAAATAAGATATTCAAGATATTGAAGTTTATTTCTATTTGAAAAGGTAGGTAGGTAGCTTTTATTCTTGCAGATAAATCAAATTATTTAATCGAACTTATAATCCTTATGAAACACGATTTTCTAGCCAACAGAGTGAATTGACATGTTCTTCAGTGAGCAAGCAATATTTTACAACAGAGATGACATATAGTCTTGATTCATAAAAGTTTGCTACTCACCTCAGAACGTAGTCAATCCTGGATTCAGCTCAGAAAATCTTGTTTCCTCAGACTATAGATATTCAGTCAGTTCCATTATCAGAATGCCTCCAATGCTCTAATATCTCCAAATTTGGTTTTCACCTCGTGAAATAATTTCACATCTGGAAGGATCCAATGGAACTGAAAGCAGAAAAAAAATCCGACAGAAACTTTCTTCATAATTACAAGTTCTACATTTTTTTTTTGATTACTGAAAAATCAAAAATACACTCATGAAATGCTCGTTCATGAGTTTAAAGATAAAATTGGTCAATACTAGTCCTTTCTATACTAGGATGATATTGCCAATCGAAGATAAAGATAAAGATAAAGATAACGTGAGACCACATGGTGTCTCACCAAAGGAAAATCAATCACATGAATTTTCTAATGAAGAAAAATAATTTCCTCAGTAAATAGAAATAAACTTCCTAGGTAACAGAAAATATTAAAGTTAGAATTTATAATGAAAAGAAAACAATATTCAAAAGCAATCCATTCAGTTACCTGTAGTTTTGTTCATTTCAGAAAAAGTTGCTCGACGTCTTATCTCTAGGATGGATCTTCGTCAAAAGAGAGCGATTCTTCGTTTCTATCTCCCTGCTTAAATTATTCCGCTCGGAATAAATTCGATATTACAGTAGTGTTGCCAATTTTACCAAAATTACAAGAAACTATTTCATTCAAAAAATACAATTTCAATTTACCACCTTTCTGTCGAATATACATTGAGAAACATATGAAATAATACACTGAGAGTTGGAACAAGAATTCAAGCAGACAACGATAGTGAAAATGAGCAGAAAAATGATTTAATTAGCTGAATAAAACAAGCCACAAGCACAAGGGTCAGAAACACATGAGAAGCGACAACCATGTGCCGTGCATGATAGATCATGTGGTATACTTACCTGTCGACTATCAGCTAATCAACCAATCAGCGAGCTCTCACGAAAAACAGTATACGAGGTAAATGAAAAGTATCGCCGAAAAGGAACGAAAATTCACAAGTGTGAGATTTTTCGTTACAAGTTATATCGAAAAAAGTGAATTTTTGGAATACCTATTTCATTTTTTTTCTCCGTTATTATTAGAGATACAGAAAAACTGAAAATACTTTTCTATAGCAACTTTTGATGACGTTCAACGTGGTTATACCGATTTTTTCATGCGACGTTTCGTATCCGTAGAACCATCATCAACTTTTGTTTTCTAAATACGGTCCTGATAATTTTTTCACAGATTCTGAAAGGTTTTTTTATTCTGAATTCAACGATGTATTAGACAAGGTGATTCGAATGTGTTTCGACCTATTTCTATCCATCATCAATGTTTTTTCGAACTTCCAAAGGAAAAGTGCCATCAGTTCCATTTATTTCTGATCATTTAATGTCAAACATTGATGGATTAGTTATTCAATACTGAAAAGTGAATAAAAAATATTTCACTACATCATTCAATGCAGCGCTTGAAATTGTTGATTAATTCTTACACGAATTACTTTAATAATTTAACTTTGACAATACCTACAGAAACATTTATAACAAATGTTCAAAATGATAACCATTATTTTCTGAACAAAGATATCCTCTTCTCACAGTTGCTTCTAAGACATCTAAGCATTTCTGGGGTTATTCTATTGAATGCTTCGATGACACTGTCCCTCAGTTCTTCTTCATCATCAAAGCTATTTGAGTATACAAAGTTTTTGATATATCCCTGAAAAAAAATTCAGCTGTGTCAAATCAGGTGACCGCGCCGGCCAAGGGACTGCAGAATGAGTACCAATCCATTTTTCTGGATAAAAACGTACGAACTTCTCTGGAATTATGAACCGGAGCGCCATCTTGTTGAAACCAACAGTTCTGAACTTCCGCAATCGGTAAATCATCCAGAGCTTCCTCAAGATGATTCTCAAGCAAATTTCTATAACGTTAGGAAGTCTGTGTTTCATGGTGAATAAAAGGACCAATAATTCGTGTACCAAATATTGCAACCCACATATTGAACGGTGTTGGTGTCTCGCTGTAATGTATAAATGTTCATTTTCTCGTGAACAATAATGTGTATTTTTTCTATCGAAGATACCATGCTTAGTGACCATGCTTTCATCAGTCCAGATGATTGTTCGCGGGAAATTTGCAAAATTTCGACATTTCCTGGTATACCACTCACAGAATGTCCTGCGCCTTTCGTCATCGCCTGGTTTTAGCTCTTGACATATTTTGAATTTCTATGAATGAAATTTTTGTTTCCGCAAAATGAAATAGGTTGTTGATTGAAACCAGTTGATGAGGTATTAGTGTGTTGACTAGTTTTCCTTCAAAATAAGTGGAACTGATGACATTTTTCTTTTGGAATTTCGAAAAAACATTGATGATGGTTAAAAATAGGTCGAAACACACATAAACCACCTTGTATAATACATGGTTGAATTCAGAATAAAAAACCTTTCAGAATCTGTGAAAACATTATCAGGACCGTATTTAAAAAACAAAAGTTGATGATGGTTCTACGAATACGAAACGTCGCATAGAAAAATTGGTATCACCACGTTAAACGTCATCAAAAGTTGCTATGAAAAAGTATTTTCAGTTTTTCTGTATCTCTAATAATAACGGAGAAAAAAAAAATAAAATAGATATTCCAAAAATTCACTTTTTTCGATATAACTAAAAAACTAAAAATAATTTTAAAAATTTTCGAAGGCTCTCGATATGAGCCTCCGAATGCGCAACTTTTTCCCCATTTAACCGACTTTGTATCTCCTACCGTTTTCGAGATCCCCATGCTGTTCAACCTTATCTTGGACAGACTGTATAATGTTCGTCTATCATATTATGTAATCTGTCATTTATCTAGTTTATAGATTTATATTTTTGTAACATCCTGACTATTCCTATACTTTTTTAGAGAGTCTAAAGGAAAATAAAGATATTTATTTATTCATCTCTCTTTCCCTCTTTTGCAGTCGGCATCCCGCAGATAAGGTGGTGCGGCAGCGAAGGCGACTACAACGTGATGGTGATGGAGCTGCTCGGCCCCTCGCTCGAAGACCTCTTCAACTTTTGTTCGCGCCGCTTCTCGCTCAAGACGGTGCTGCTGCTGGCCGACCAGCTCATCTCGCGCACCGACTTCATCCATTCGCGCAACTTCATTCACAGGGACATCAAGCCCGACAACTTTCTGATGGGGCTCGGCAAGAAGGGGAATTTGGTGTATATCATCGATTTCGGGTTGGCGAAGAAGTACAGAGATGGCAGGACGCACCAGCACATACCCTACAAGGAGAACAAGAATTTGACGGGTGAGTGAGAGACGGGTGTGAAAGCAGCAACGGTTTTTCTGGCAACGGTTTTTCAACTTCATTTATGGTATATGGAGGAAGGACGTTTTCTTTCGCTCAAGATTTTTCTACACAAGTCCACTAACCTGAAGAAGTTGAGAAAGGCTCCTAACAAAAAAATAATTTGTGATTTCTAAACCACCCCATAACCACCCCACATAACAGAAAAATCGTGAGACAGTTGGGAGATACCTTAATCGCGATTTCATTATGTAAATCGATAATTTTACACTAATTGAACACCCTCCATACAATGAAATAATTTGTGAACTAGAAACTACCCCTCAACAACCCTCCGAAATAGAAAATTCATAAATCAGTTGAAATTACAGTTGCGCGATGTTTTTTGATGGAAATGAATTATTCTAGACCTGCTGACTACTCTTTGTAGGGTGAAATATTTTGTGAACCAAAAACTACCCCTCAGCAACCCTCCGAAGTATAAAGATCATAAATCAGTTGAAATTCCCGTTGCATGAGATTTTTTGATGGAAATGGATAATTCTAGACCTGTTGTATACGGTTTATGGGGTGAAATAATTTGTGAATCAAAAACCACCCCTCAGCAGCCCTCCCCAATGAAGAAAGGGGTATACATTTTGCGATTTAGCCGCTTTAAGGTTGGTAGAACTGATGTTGATCATAAGTTCTAGGAATCACGCCATCTAACATTGAATATGTGAACACCACGTCATCGTCTAAATTTGAATTGTTTACATCAAGATCCAGTCTGACAAAACAAATGAAGAGTGAGCGCACCAGAGATTTATTTCATAAATTTTCATCAATATCATTGTTATTGTAGAATCAGTGATAATGACACAGCAAAATACTATTGTTTGTGAAATACACGCCAATACTGAAGTCTCACCTCATATTGTTCTCATAGTTTCAATCGCCTTTCTAGAAATACGCAGAACAGTACAGTGAGAATTCACTGTTTTCAATTTCGACCGTGAGTACCAATAAAATAGAAAGTGACAGTGACAAGAATGACACAACGTATAATTCGTTTGGCGCACACTCACCAGTGAATGATTCAAATAGAGTACAGACCAATCAATGCGATCGAACATGCATTGTTGATTGGATAGTAGCGGCCAATAATATTTTGCAATTTTTTTTTTGTGTATTTACCTATGTTCTCAATAAATCATCTGCAGTTCGTATGGCGTAATTTGATGAAGAATTAGGTAGAAACATAAGATGAACAGTTTTCGAAATATTTTTCAAATGCAGTTGTCTTGTGCAGAATTGAACAGCAAAAACGGTGGATTGAAAACAATCCCAATTTTATCAGTGCCGTAAAAATATGAGAGAATTAGGTGCCACAACCTCCTGTAGCATAACACTGGATACAATGTCCAAAATGACTTTTTTGTCAAAAATTGGCCTATTTGCAGATGAAACCATATTGCAAATTTGAAAGCGAAAGACTCAAAAGTTCTTGAGTTATTGGAAAAAACATTCTTTATTTCTTGACTCGGAAATGAGCACTCGAATTCCTTATGTCCCTATCCCTATCAGGAGTGGTCACACTTGTGAAGCCTTATCGTTCGAATTTCGCAACACGCTGTGTAGGTATAGAGAAAACAATCTATACAGTAGGTGATCGCAAATATCGAGTGACCTAGATGAAGCTGGAGAGAAAGAGAGAGAGGGAGAGAGAGAGAGAGAGGTAGTAAGAAAGAGATAATTAAAAAGAGATAGTGTCAGCTCTTCCCGCGATTACATCCATTCGCGCAACTTCATCCACAAAGATATCAAGCTCGACAACTTTCTGTGTGGTGAAATACACGTCAATTCTAAAGACTACCCTCACCCTGTATGGTTTTCAACCGTGAGTGGCTGAGTGACCATGAAATAAAAATTGACAGTTTGCAGAACTTATTCGCGATAGAAAATAATACATTGCCCCACCTGACGGCAACAACTTGAACGCCTCTGAGAGTCTGAGTGGTTTGTTTATAAGGATTGACCAATAATTATAAAAAAACAACAAATGTGAACCAATGGAAACAAAGTAAACAGACCGCTGTGACAGCTTTCAAAAACTCCGATAGGTACAGAACACTTGTTTTCTATCGCGAATAAGGATTCGTTTCGCGCACACTTACTTGCGAGCGATTCGAATAGAGTACAGACCAATCAGAGGGATCGAACTTGCATTGTTGATTTGATAGTAGCGGACATTGACATTGCAACGGCTTATAGTATAGTTGTATATACGTATATTTATATTATTCATTGTTCTGGAGTTGATAAACAGCGTTCAAGAATATGGTAAATCTATTGATAGATCAGAATAGTAGGTAGGTATAGAGAAATGAAAAGAAAGGAGGTTGTCACGGAGACACTACAAAGATAAGGAGAGATTTTCCGAAGGAAGGAAAAGATAGACGGAAAAAGAGTGTTGGCTGTTTACACCAGCGGTACCGGTTACCAGATTGGGGAAATACCGGACAACAAGTGCTGGGTTTTTCACAAGTAAAGCAAGAAGCAGCAGGAAGTATATTATATCATTTCTGAACCCGCTGGGGTTTTCACAAGTAAAGCAGGAAGCAGCAGGAAGTATATGATATCGTTACTGAACCCATGTGTATTATTGTGGTGACACATACTTTGTCATACATTTATCAAGATTCAGGTGAATTCAGGTTAATTACAACAGAGCAACAGTGGCTATGTCTTTATTGACTAGTGGTTCATAGAATGACCTTGGTAGTAAAAACACACTTAATGCCTCGAAAAGGAGTGAATAATGGTAGGTTTTATAGCTAGTGGTGGAAAAAAACATATTGCCATTCAAACAAAAAAAGTTCACAGTCGCTGACGTTACCGTTGAAATTTGAAAAACAGAATGGTCAGAGCCTACTCATAGTAACTGACGAGTAAGTTTATTTTTGTCTTTTGTTTTTCAGAATGGGTTGTGCAAGAACTGTCAGATGACCGACCCTGGAGGTGAAACATTGAAACAAAACCTCACTTTTCTTGTTTGCTTACAAATACAAAAATAGTTTTTCACAATTATTTTGACATACGAATCGTGTTTTCCGGCTCATTAATTCGCCTATGCCATAACATTGTGCTGTTGTACAATGCACAAAAAATGCGGCGAGAGACGAAGGAATCCGATTGGTACATTATGAATCAAAAGTAAGCACCTACTCTAGTCACTCACATACGGTCTTCATTTTGAAATTTGGTATCAAACGGGAGGTGTCTGACATACTGACGAAATATCGTGTGTGTTTTAGAAATGTTCAATCTATGAGCAGTATTAGCTTCTATTGCAGAAGTGGTAGAAGGAATTTCAATAAGAAATGACGAAACTTCATAGATAGATAGATAGATTTATTTGACTATGTAACTCATACAAAAATGGTTTATAGCAAGTCAGTTTAAAAGCACACATGTATTGAAATATTATATAAAAACAAACGAACAGAACGCTGAAATACACAATGAAAAGAATACAAAGATAAAACAAACATAAAATTGATAGCATCCTCGATCGTATCACAAGTACATAAAATTCATAAAATTGAAGTTTGATTAAATTCATCAACCGAATAAAAACAATATCTGAGAAGGTGTTTCTTCACAGTAGTTCTGAAGCATATTTCATTCATAGATTTGACCTGATTTGGTAATTTATTGTAAAGCTTAAAGTTCAACGAATTTTTCTCAGTTTTGACTAATCTATAGTGAGGCACAAGTAAATCATTTGCATCAGCAGACCGTGTGTTGTGATGATGAAGGCTAGAAACTTTTGGAATGCTCAGCCTTCTGGAATGAATTTCTCTCAAATTTTGAAAGATGTAAATACATGGGAGAGGTAAGATTCCTAACTGCTTGAATAAAGGTTGGCAGTGCTCTCTATAACCAACCCCTGCTATTAATCTCATTGCTCGTTTTTGTAACCTAAAAATTTTCATACCTTCAACTGAGTTACCCCACAGAACAGTGCCATAGCTGATCAAAGAGTGAAAAAGGCCAAAATATATATGTTTCAACATCGTCTGATGCAAGCATTGTCTGAGTTGTCTCAGCAGAAATAAAACACTGGCTAGCCTGGTACTAAGGGAATCCACCTGATGTGACCAATTCAGAGAGTCATCTAAAATAATTCCAAGCAATTTACAATGGTTTCCTGCCGTGACTTGGCTATTGCTGGAAATCATGAGATTCTGATTTTTTTCTCTATTCAGTTGTAAATTATTCGCAGAAAACCAAGCCTCAGCTTCGGTCATTAAAGTTTCTGCATGATCTAGTAGAAGTGAAATATTAGTGTTTGAACTAATCAAGGTTGTATCATCTGCAAAAAGGACAATTTGACACTTCTTCATCATATGATAGCAGAGGTATGATGAAGAGCAGTGGCCCCAGAACGGATCCTTGAGGGACTCCATGATGCACATTTCTCAGTTCAGATTTAGAGTTATTATTCAGGTGTACATATTGTTGTCTACCCTCTAAATACGATCTGAACAATTCTAATGGTGTGCCTCTTATTCCATAGAATGAGAGTTTTTCTAACAGGAGTTCATGGGAAACACAGTCGAAGGCCTTAGAGAGGTCGCACATGGTCAACAATGAATGTTCATGTCCCTCCAGATCTTCGACTATGTTTTCCATAATGAAAACTATGTGAGATTACTATTTACCTGAAAAATCATATTTCTTCTCGCTGCATTTTTTGTGCATTATACAACAGCACAATGAGAAGGTATGCTGGAAATAATGAAAAGCACAAAAAACACGATTCGTATGCCAAGATATTGTGAAAAACTGTTTCAATCCTTTGATTCCTCTGTAAACAAATAAAAAAAGTGAGGTTATGTTTGAATGTTTTTCAGAAAAGTGAGGTTGTGTTTCAATGTGTGTAACCTGCACGCGACCTATTCTGATATTCAATATGGAATTTTTCAGACACAACTGAAACTAGATGACAATTAGGA